TTTTTTCTCAACACTTTTTTGTTGTTGTTTTATTTTACTTTTTATTTAAAATAAATGCACTGTTGGTTAAGGGCTGTAAGTAAGCATTTCACTGTAATGTCTGCACCTGTTGTATTCGGCGCATGTGGCCAATAAAATTTGATTTGATTTGATTTATCACTCCTTTCAACTGCAAAAAAGCAAGTCATAGTTATTGTCCCTAGGTGCATGGTGCAAAGCGCCCGCTCCCTCTGGACAGAAGAAATGCAAAAAATCATCACAAGTCCACTTTGAGTTACTTTCACCGACTCAACAGTCCCCAAACTCTTCTCCACCCAACCTGACACCACATATGGATCAGCCAGAAGGCAATTATCCATTCTCTCCAAAGAAATCTCCCACTGGGCCAGAATCATCTTTGTCATCCTTCCCTTTCTTCCCTCTCTTCACAAACACATCAACCTCCACACCTTGCAGCTCCAAATCAGCGCCTCCATTTGTTTTAACGTCATCCTCTCTCTCTTCAACTCCTTCAAACTCAATGTCACTCATCAGTTTCACGTTCTGACCTACTAAAGTACGGTTTTCCATTTCTGTACTTGACACCCAACATCTTCTCTTTCCTCAGGGTTTTTCCTCTTCCTCTTTTCAGTTTCACCTTCCGAGCTTTCCATTTTTGTACTCTCGCAATCTCCTCTCTTGTCCCAGGGTTTTTTCCCCTTGTTTCTTCAACTTTTCCACTTTCTTCCTCATGTTTTCTTCCGTTCCGAGCTACTGAAATAGTTTTCAATTTTTGTACTTGAGGCCTATCAACCTCCCATCCTTGTCCTCCATATTCTAAACCCCCAGGACTCAACTTTCTCCGTCAGCCACGCACGTTATTGCCGATGCCATGAGAACTCAAGGTGACATGCTACTATCGCTTTAATGTTTACCTTGCTCTACTACAGGACAACTACCTTTAACCAGAGAACCCAGTAGATGTCTTAAAGCATGAATGGTGTTAAGAATTTTTTTTTAATCAGGAGAGAGGACCAAACTTGAACGCAACACTTTCTTCTTCTTCTATGGTATATTGGCAATCACACAATTAAATGTGCATCCCGCCACCTACTATGCGGGATGGAAACAGGATTCCCAAAAAAACTGAACTACCAAAAGACTATCAAAAAATACATAAATAAAATATAATAAAATAAATCAAAATAACTTTTCTGTTAAAAAATAAAACAGATCTGATCCCTACACAGGCTCGAGGGGAACCTGGGAGGGCAGGTCTTCCGGCGCCAGTACCCCTTCAGATATAAAATCCTTAAGTCCCAAAAACTTTTCTGCCGCAGCTACAATAATGTCCAGTTTCTTAGACTTCTTTGAGACTTGTGCTGTACAGTTTATAACTGTGGCAATGAACGCAACAAAATCCACCTTTTTAACACACAGGGTATCTTTTGTCTGGCAGCAAACATTTACTACAGACTGTGGTGTACCCATTACCATATCTTCACTAGCATCACTTGTTTTCTCAAGTCTTTTAATCGCCTCAGCATAGGAGATTCGATTGACCGCTCTAACTTTTGCCACCTCAATCTCTTTCACCCTTACAGGGCACTCCAGGAAATCAGGATCATGATCCCCACCACAATTGCAACACCGTCGTCCTTCTACACACCGTTCTTCAGTATATTCTGTTCATCTGCACACACTTGAAACATGGCCTAATCCTTTACAATTCTTACACTACAGTGGTTTGGGGATGAAAGCTTTTACGGCATATCTTACATAACCAAGCTTCACATGAGTAGGTATTTGCTCTTTATCAAAAAACAACAGGACTGACAGACTTTCTTCTTTAACTCCATTCTTCCAGTGGGTCAGATTCCGGGCACCAACCACACAAGTCATTTTCTTCAGATATTCAACCTGAACATCCGTCGTCACCCCTGAGATGACTCCTTTGATGGGTGTTCTACTCCAAATTTCAAAACACAAAACTTCTGTTGTCCGGATTCTTTTGAGGCCCAGTGCAATCTTCCTCTGCTCTATAGAAATACAATTAATCAAAATAAGACCACTCCTGGTCACTCAGACTCCACTTTTCCAAGTGCATACTTCACCATTTTCGACACCTCAAATGGGTTTCCCACATATGCATCCTTACTCAACAAATGCATCCCAACAAGAAGCGATTCATTATCATTCACACACGTATCCTCCACTCCAATTTTAGACAATTTCCTTTTTGTTTCAGATTTTGATACTACTGTCCATTCAGAACACTCATCTTCACCAAATTTGCTTGACGCGCTGCTTGATTCGAACTCAGCATCCACTTCCGCCATCTTCCCACCATCCCTTCCTCGGTCTCTCCCGGGTAGATTTAATTCATGTTGCGGGCAATGCAACACTTTAACTAGTTGCCTTGAACGCCGCTCCCTAGTAACTCAACAAGCACTAGCTGCTGCTACTGATTGCCAATCAGCCTCCACTCCTGTTTGCAACACTTTAACTAGTTTACTTGAATGCAGCTCCTCAACTCATTGCTAATCAGCCTCCACACCTGTCCTCACTCTTCTTAATCACCACTCAAATCTAATTTTATTGGTCACGTACACATATTTTGCGGACGTTATCGCAGGAGCAATGAAATGCTTATATTTCTGGCTCCAAAAGTGCAATATACCTAACAATACAAAACAATACACACAAATCCCAAAAATATCAGATCGAGCAATGTCAGAGTCCGGAATATAAATATATATTCAGTATTAATTTATTAAATAACACTTTCTATAGTCTTGTATGCCACTATTATTACACTTTATGGCTAAAGTCCTCTATCTGCAGTCCCCCGCACTGTTATGTTTATCCACACACCATCTGAGTCACATACCTGTTTGTTGAGTTCAGATGGGCCTCCATGACCCTGATTCTAACGCTCAATGAAGTCACGGAGGAGATTCTCATTGTGGTATTGGACACAATAATATAATTATTTTTTACAACTCAAATGTGTCAAGTGATGGTGAATTGACACTTTGAATATGAGTTGACTGCAAAGACTACAGAGAATAGCAACACTGTGTACATGACATTATACATTATGCTAAATCCACAGGAGGCCGCTGAGGGAAGGACAGCTCATAATAATGTCTGGAATGGAGTTAATGGAAGGGTATCAAACACATGGTTTCCACATGAGTTCAATACCATTCCATTTATTCGATTCCAGCCATTACTATGAGCCCGTCCTACCCAATTAAGGTGCCACCAACCTCCTGTGGGAAATCATATACTGGGGTATCTTTACACACCAGCCTTCCAGCTCAAACACAACTAATAAGGAGTTAACAGGCTGCACGTGACTGTGACTTTGGTACTGTTAGCAGTAACACAACCAACCCCCACAATCTTCCTTTACTTACCCATTAGAACAATTTAATATAGATAAAGTATATGTGGTACATCAATATTTCCATTAATCTTTATCACTCTAAATTGTAATTGTTGTAGATTTGTAATATTGTTTGAGGTTCAGTACAATTTGTAACATTGCGCAACAACGTGGGTGTGCCAAAGAGGTGTGGCAGCTACCGGTAGTGGTAATGATTAATCTCATCAATAACACTTGCCACACACAGCGGTTTTCACACAAAAGCAAAACATACACTGAGTGTACAAACATTAAGGACACCTGCTCTTTCCATGACATAGACTGACCAGGTGAATCCAGGTAAAAGCTATGATCCCTTACTGATGTCACTTGTTAAATCCACTTCCATCGGTGTAGATGAACAGTTAAAGAAGGGTTTTTAAGCCTTGAGACAATTGAGACATGGATTGTGTACGTGTGCGATTCAGAGGGTGCATGGGCAAGACAAAATATTTCAGTGCCTTTGAAAAGGGTATGGTAGTAGGTGCCAGGTGCACCGGTTTGTGTCAAGAACTGCAACGCTGCTGGGTTTTTCACGCTCAACAGTTTCCCGTGTGTATATAGAATGGTCCACCACCCAAAGGACATTCTTAATGTTTTGTACACTCAGTGTATATTTTCAAATGTTTATGCTCCATTTCCTAGCACAATGCATTACTGAGAAAATAAAATAATAAATATGTTGTTGTTATTGTTGACTATTATAACCTACATTTGCTATAGAATGTACAAAGTTTAAATTATCCTAAGCCAATAGGACTGTATGATGTGTCAGTTATCGTGAGAGCTTTTGTCCCAAACCCATTACAGTGTTTTCGGTGCCAAGCTTATGGTCATGTTGCAGAAGTGTGTAGGAGGGAGATTCCTAGATGTGAGAAGTGTGCAGGAGGGCATGAGACAAAGGAATGTGTAGTATCAGTGGAAAAGTTGTGTGTTTTAACTGTAGGGGTACCCATGGTGCTGGAGATCAGAAGTGTTTGGTGAAAGAAAGGCAGGTTGAGGTTGCCAGGATCAGAGTAGTACAGAAGGTGTTGTATGCTGAGGCAGTGGAGAGAGTAGTAGAGGAAGATGGGTTCAGGGTGAGGGATCCTAAGAGACTCCACTGTGAGTAGGCCAAGGCCAATAGAGAGTGATAGGAATAACGTGCTTCAGTAATGTTGATTTCTTAGCGTTCATAGCCATGATTATCTATTAAATCTCAGAAAATAGATGTTGTGGTGGCAGCTGCAGAGAAGTACTTGGGTGTACTAGATTTTACTGCAGAAGAGCACCAAGGTGTGTTGAACGGTAGTGTCCCGTCCTCCCAGGCTGCCAGCCTGGTGTAGGATAAGATAGGGCCAAGTAGTGGAATAGTGGTGAGGTTTTAATGGGTGTAGGGTTAGTTGGTAGGGCCATTTTTTCTTCCCTTTTCCCATCCTTTTTTTCTCCCCGTTCTGTGTCACAAAGTGTAATGAATTCACACTCCAAAACAGTAGGCTGATACACAGCCCACACAGTAGGTGGCGGCATGCACCTCTAACATATGTTTGTGGACCGCCATAATACCATAGAAGAAGAAGCAGGGGAAGCACTGTATGGAAATAGAGAGGGTGTGGCCTGAGGTCACAGTTTCAGGTGAGTGCAACTGAAGGGAAGGGAAGCAAAAGTTTTGTGCTGTTTCAGTCTGTCAGGCCTCTTGGAAACTACTTTACCTTTGGAATATTGCTGAACAGAAAGGTAAATTGTATTAATTAATTGTTTGATTGTTGTCTTAAATACTGCTAAAATATTATGAATATGTGCTGATATAATCGAGAGTTAAATACACAAATTCCTCACTCAGGGAGTAATTAACACTTACGTAAAATACAGTTGGTTATATTGTAGAGTATATGTCCTCTTTTTGTAGTATTCCCTCCCCTAGTCTTGGACAGAATGGTAGTCTTGGACAGAATGGATATATACCATTCTGTCCAACATTCTGTCCAGGGTTATCTATCCCCCTCAGAAGGAGTGAGCATATTTTGTTATGGGAAAACAAGTGTCCTTTTATCGTTGGAGTTTCAGTGCATGATAAAGACTACCTACCTGTTAGCTGAGTAATGTATCCTCATAAAACTAGATTGAAATCACAATGAGGAAGTACACATTCAAACAATTCAGTTAGTAATTGTAATCATATTTCTCTTGATGTTCCATACAGGTTTACCAATATGGTCACTATGCGAAAGTGTCTTACATGCTCAAGACTACAGTTGGCTGTGATGTTTGTGGTAACAGTTTATCTCAATACAGGTGAGTTGTCAAATAAATCAGTGTTTCCCAACCTAGTCGCCCCATGCTATCCATTATGTTGGGCCCTTCTAGCCTCCACTGCACTCCACTGTGTGACAGGCATTGACTGTGAATTCCTACACAACAGGTTTATGTCACTTAATGTAAACAGTAGTGGAGTGGAGCCCAGACAGTGTCCCAGGTCATAACAACGCCAGTGTCTGCTGCATCCAATAGCCAGTGTCTGTCCTACATGTACCTACATGTTGGATATATCACATTTGTCAGTAATGCATTTACACTTCTGTGAACTGCTAATGCAGTTTTTCCCTATTAAGAAGTTGTCACTTTAGTCTGACACTTACAGTGAGGGAAAAAAGTATTTGATCCCCTGCTGATTTTGTACGTTTACCCACTGACAAAGAAATGATCCGTCTATAATTTTAATGGTAGGTTTATTTGAACAGTGAGAGACAGAATAACAACAACAAAAATCCAGAAAAACGCATGTCAAAAATGTTATAAATTGATTTGCATTTTAATGAGGGAAATAAGTATTTGACCCCCTCTCAATCAGAAAGATTTCTGGCTCCCAGGTGTCTTTTATACAGGTAACGATCTGAGATTATGAGCACACTCTTAAAGGGAGTGCTCCTAATCTCAGCTTGTTACCTGTATAAAAGACACCTATCCACAGAAGAAATCAGTCAATCAGATTCTAAACTCTCCACCATGGCCAAGACCAAAGAGCTCTCCAAGGATGTCAGGGACAAGATTGTAGACCTACACAAGGCTGGAATGGGCTACAAGACCATCACCAAGCAGCTTGGTGAGAAGGTGACAACAGTTGGTGCGATTATTCGCAAATGGAAGAAACACAAAATAACTGTCAATCTCCCTCGGCCTGGGGCTCCATGCAAGATCTCACCGTGTGGAGTTGCAATGATCATGAGAACGGTGAGGAATCAGCCCAGAACTACACGGGAGGATCTTGTCAATGATCTCAAGGCAGCTGGGACCATAGTCACCAAGAAAACAATTGGTAACACACTACGCCGTGAAGGACTGAAATCCTGCAGCACCCGCAAGGTCCCCCTGCTCAAGAAAGCACATATACAGGGCCGTCTGAAGTTTGCCAATGAACATCTGAATGATTCAGAGGAGAACTGGGTGAAAGTGTTGTGGTCAGATGAGACCAAAATCGAGCTCTTTGGCATCAACTCAACTCGCCGTGTTTGGAGGAGGAGGAATGCTGCCTATGACCCCAAGAAGACCATCCCCACCGTCAAACATGGAGGTGGAAACATTATGCTTTGGGGGTGTTTTTCTGCTAAGGGGACAGGACAACTTCACTGCATCAAAGGGATGATGGACGGGGCCATGTACCGTCAAATCTTGGGTGAGAACCTCCTTCCCTCAGCCAGGGCATTGAAAATGGGTCGTGGATGGGTATTCCAGCATGACAGTGACCCAAAACACATGGCCAAGGCAACAAAGGAGTGGCTCAAGAAGTAGCACATTAAGGTCCTGGAGTGGCCTAGCCAGTCTCCAGACCTTAATCCCATAGAAAATCTCTGGACGGAGCTGAAGGTTCGAGTTGCCAAACGTCAGGCTCGAAACCTTAATGACTTGGAGAAGATCTGCAAAGAGGAGTGGGACAAAATCCCTCCTGAGATGTGTGCAAACCTACCATTAAAATTATAGACTGATCATGTCTTTGTCAGTGGGCAAACGTACAAAATCAGCAGTGGATCAAATACTTTTTCCCTCACTGTACATCCCTGCCTGAGGGACTCCACATTCTTTGTAAGTTTCAATCCTGAATGTGTGTTTTTCTCTGAACCCTCAGATGTCTTAGAGGCTATTCGGATAACATCCACAGGGCCTCAGACCATTCAGAGAGCCCAGGGGGAGACAGTCATGCTGGGGTGCACTTTCACCCTTGACCCATCTGACACAGGAGAACTGGACATTGAGTGGTTGAACGTCCGTCCAGACATGACCCAGAAAGACCAGCTGGTGAGACTACAGAGCAGGGGACAGAGGGGATCCTTGAACTTATGGGAAGGGTTTGGAGATGAAACATGCATTGTCAAATGAATGTGTTAGTCTTAACATCCACTCATACCATATATGTCAGACTAGTCTTGGAGATTTGTTTAGCTACATGCTAACTTATCCTCACTGTTTCAGTAAAAAAACGTGTTCTGAATATGTGTTATCAATACTTGTGTTGTGTGGTTTTTGTCATTGAACCGAATCTATCTCTTAGATATTATCTTATTCAGGAGGGCAGAAATTGCATTATGGGGACCTCAGCTTGTCTACCAGGATGTCCTTCACAGGAGACCCCACACTGGGAGACGCATCCGTCTCCATCGCTGCAGTGAAGGTCTCAGACACAGCCACCTACCAGTGCAAAGTCAAGAAGGCGCCGGGTGTCGACATGCAAAAAATTACTCTGGTAGTGATGGGTGAGGAATGCCGCTCCTCCCAGAATGGTTTCTGTTTTACCAGTTTCATAATTCTACTGTTATGTGTCATTTGTTTTAAAATTTGCTCTCTCACTGAGATGGAATGTTAACGCCCTGTTATCTCCGATACTTCCATTCAGCAGCCACACCTCTTTCCTTTGTTGCTATCGATATACCCAATTTCCTCTGGTGGAAATACACTTAGAAGAAATCAACAAGTTTACACAATGGCCCATTTTGCTATTGCATTTTACATTTACATTTTAGTCATTTAGCAGACGCTCTTATCCAGAGCGACTTACAGGAGCAATTAGGGTTAAGTGTCTTGCTCAATGGGCACATCGACAGATTTTTCACCTAGTCTGCCCGGGGATTAGAACCAGCGACGTTTCGGTTACTGGCACAACGCTCCTAACCACTAAGCTACCTGCCGGTTGGGAAAATGCATATGTACAGTACAGGAGCGCAACTTTGCTTTTAGAACTGGGGGAGACATTATTATAATAATTGTTTTATCAAGTCGGATAAACACACCAAACAGCCTACCCGACCACTCGGATGCGTCCGCATGGTCCTAAAGCACACCGTTGCCTCGTTTTGTATCACATTTCAATGATAAAACTGGCGGGGACAAACATGCTATTTCAGAATGTGGGGGGGATATGTCCTCCACCTCCCCAGTGAAAGTTGCGCCCCTGGTACAGTACATCAAAGGAAATCTTTCCAAAGACACTGTTTTACCTCTATTCTCTTGCACCAGTCCCTCCATCAATGCCTAAGTGCTGGATTGAAGGTGGCGAGGAGAAGGGGAGCGATGTCTCCCTTCAATGCAAGTCCTCCGTGGGATCCACCCCCCTCAACTATGTCTGGACCAGAGAGAGTGGAGGGGCCATCCCGCCCACAGCAACACAAAGTAGGAACCAAGAACCAAAGCCTCTAGATAAGACATGGCACACAGAACCATAGATCTATTGTACAGTACATGTTGATATACTGAGGCGTGAGGTGTATCTTGTAGCTGGCAGTGATTGTCTTTGTGGGTGTTTTTAGACTCTCAGACTGGAGAGCTGATGATAAGAAATCACTCAGAGAGCTACATGGGAAACTACCTGTGTGTGGTGTCGAATACTGTTGGCAAAGGGCAGTGTAAATACACCCTGCACGCATACAACCGTAAGTTTAAAACCACAAATCTCTTTAAGCCTGTTAATTGGGAGAAAGTGAGAAACTGTGCATATGTGTGGACCTATTCCTTGGAACCTGTCTGAATATCATTACCTTTTAGCTTCCAACAAAAAAGGGATCATAGCGGGTGGTGTGATTGGTGCCCTGCTACTGTTGCTCCTCCTCCTGCTTCTCATCTGGCTTCTGGTCTGCTGCTGCCACAAGCGTCGCTATGAGAAGGAGGTTGCCCATGAAATCAGGTATGAAATATGACATTCCATACATTCCAAGAATTACATGCTGCAGCAGACAAACTGTAAAATGAGTTTAACTCCTACCGTTCTGTGCTTCTCCTCGGTGGCCTGGCCCTGCCTCTGCCCACCAGGGAGGACGCCCCAGCCCCAGAGAGCCGCCCCACCAGCAGGAACTCCAGCTTCCGCTCGGTCGTAGGCTACCGCTCCCACCCCGGGGTGGTCTACAGCTCCGTAAGAAAGGGCCAGCCCAAGAGGACAGAATCAGGCCACAGCAGCATCTACACAGACAGGAGCAAAGGCACGCCCGCCCACAGCGGGCAGCAGGCCCCTCCTGTGTTGAAATATGACAACAATTATGGCTACCCTGTGTAACAATATTTTGGTTTGGGATAAGAAACCTCATCACATTTTTTAAGTGTCAGTTTTAGGACATTTTACCAACCTTCAGTATAAACAGCTATCACATGCAGGCATAGAGCCCCACAGTGGAGGTGTCATAATATCCATTAAAACCTAGTGGTCAAACAGGGAAATGGTTTCAATCGTTTTTCCTCCATTAATTTTTCCCATGGGGGATTTTAGAAACACTTAAAATAAGGGCTGTGTTTCGTGTAGGCTTACCCTGGCGTGACGTTTTGATAACCATGTAAATCTCTCTAGGACAAAGTGACTTTTATCAATATATTCGGCACTATTTACTCTGTTTCGAAAATTTTAATTAGCATCAAAGTAGACATCATGCAAGACTACAAATCCCTGCAAGCTCTTGCACATCATATCTAGCTGACACCTTTGCTAACAGGTATTGTGTCAATTTAAAACTTGCACAAGATCGTTCATGTCCTTTCCAAACGCTCAGCTAAAAATTGCTCCGTGCTCACAGGAAAGAAAACTGCTGCTCCAAATTCGCTCCATTCATTCAAATCACAATTTAACCAACCCCCATCTATTTTTGTGACTACCTAGACCTACCATTGAAACCAAACAATATGGATTTGAATGAAAAATATTTCAATAAACATGAAAAGGTGAATGTAAGAAGCGCACATAATTTCAAATAGGCTACATGTCATATTAAACAGCATATAAACACTCTAAATAGGTCAGGAGCCAGACAGGGAGCCTAAGAAGGAACTAAAATGAATTATTTAGGCTATATTATTTCTATTATTTCAAGGCTATAGCCTACAAAGAAATACATAGTGAAGCATTTGCGAGTGCGATACTAGGCTGGTAGGGACATAAAGGGCTCAGCATTTAAACAACCTTTCGTTGTATTAAATCATTGTAGTCTATTAATTGCGCGTATAGGCTGTGACTTACTTAGAATTAAATACCATTTAAATGAAAAAATGACTTAGTGCCTTTGAATTCATTTTTAGAATTCATTTTTAGAAACACGAGTTTGGCCAGTCTGTGGCTTCAGGCTCATGCGATGGTGCCTGAAGAGCCAGCCAGCAGCGGAGAATATCCTCTCCACACTTTCAGAGCCACTTGGGATGCTAAACACTCTTTTGGCCACTCTTGCCAGGCTGGGCAGAGATGCAGAGTTTTATTTTTTATTTTTCTATAGGTAGGCCTAAAGGTTTTTAGGCAAAATAACCCAATCAAAACGGAAAGCTCCTTGAACGTGGGAATATGCCAGGCCTATTGGGCCAAAATCAATTATGGCCTATTGTATAGATAATAGAACAAAAATGAACTAAATGTTTTAAGAGATCAGATTTTGTTGTTTATAAATACTTTGCTACAATGACACACTTAGTTATCTACCCACCTCGTTCCTTTCTTTTAGCATGTGCATGTAGTAAGTACACCATCATGCTTTCAGAATACGTGTATTTTCAGATTCCACAATGATTATTTAGCTGTGGACACATCGTTGTAAGTCAACCTTGATTTAGCACCTGTGTGTTTCATCAGTTTCTTTATGAAAATATTTAGCGAACTCCATGACAGTAGCTAAAGCAAGGGGCTATAGATAGCAGCACACAAGTAGACTACAAATGCATGCTGGGCCGGGCATGCCCTGAGCTCGTGAAATGAGTACTACTGGAGCGAAATTGGAGCCTGCGAGAAGGCTGATGCTCCAGCCTTTGGAAATGTCGCTCCAAGCACCAGTCAAATTGGGAATGCTCTGCTCCTCTCCAGCTCCGCTCCCAGCCACATCCACCCTGCGCTTAGCCTGGGGACTACTGGTGCAGTGGATAATGTTTTAGTCACGTTTAGTTGAATTGAGGATTTTGCAAATGAGAAAGCGAGAGGTTCTATTTAAAGTGTATGTATATATGCAGTGAATGTCAAATGTGTATGTTTTTTTAAATCTTATCTATGTATGTTTTAATTTGCCCTGGAGACAAGTAACCAAAATGTGTCTTCTTTTCTATTATTTCACAATAAAGGCCTTTTTATTTTTAGAATTTGAATTTGTTTATCAAGCATGTGATTAATCTGTGTCACCAATCGAAAAAAGCAAATGACCCCACCCTCAACACGCCAAGCCAAATTCACGAGGGAACTCATTTTGACTAGTGGTGCTGCAGATTTGATTGACAGACTTTCGTTGGAAAGTGTGCCAGTCAGATATGTGAATATGATATTGATTTTGATAGAAAATGTTTTAACGAGAGTATGAAGCAGACTGGCCTCAAAAGGCAGACCGCTCAGAGGAGAAAATCTTGCAGAAAGTCTATGATCAAAGGAATCTTTCAATCAAAGTAGAAGTAGTGTGGAATGTCTACAAGGATTGATTTGGCTGCAAGCATCACTGGGTTTTTGCTTTCTCTTTTTTGTTTGTGCATTATCATACTATAGAGCGCGTGTCAAACTCATTCCACGGAGGGCCGCGTGTCTGCGGATTTTCACTACACCCTTGTATTTGATTGATTAATTAAGTTCACTAATTAGTAAGGAACTCTACTCAACTGGTTGTCTAGGTCTTAATTGAAAGGAAAAGCCAAAAACCAGCAGACACTTGGCCCTCCATGGAATGAGTTTGATACTGCTATAGAGCATAATACAACTGGAAACTCTGAAAAATAAGAGGTCAAATCATGACGTCAGTGATCTTCAGGTCAGAAATTGGAGCTCTAGAAAGAGGTCCCGAGTTGCAATTCCGAGTTGGACGACCGTTCAAATCTATTTTTCCCACTCTGAGCTCGTTTTTTTTTGTTGAGTTCCCAGTTGTTTTGAACGCAGCATTAGTATAGCAGGGGTGTCAAACTCATTCCGTGGAGGGCCTAGTGTCTGCAGGTTTTTGGTTTTTCCTTTCAATTAAGCCAGAGACAACCAGGTGTGGGGAGTTAGTGACCTTAATTCATCAATCAAGGACAAGGAAAGAGCGAAAACCCGCAGATATTTGGCCCTCTGTGGAATGAGTTTGACACCTGTGACTTACAGACTCCTCATACTATACTATGAGTATATCCTATACTGAACAAAAATGTAAACACAACATGTAAAGTGTTGGTCCCATGTTTCATGAGCTAAAATAAAAGATCCCAGAAATGTTCCATGCGCACAAAAAGCGTATTTCTCTCAAATTTTGTGCACAAATTTGTTTACATCCCTGTTAGTGAGCATTTCTCCTTTGCCAAGATAATTCATCCACCTGACAGGTGTGGCATATCAAGAAGCTGATTAAACAGCATGATCATTACACAGTACAATAAAAGGCCACACAGTTGTGTCACACAACACAATGCCACAGATGTCTCAAGTTTTGAGGGAGTGTGCAATTGGCATGCTGACTGCAGGAATGTCCATCAGAGTTGCCAGAGAATGTAATGTTAATTTCTCTAACGTCGTTTTAGAGAATTTGGCAGTACGTCCAACCGGCCTCACAACCACAGACCATGTGTAACCATGTCAGCCCAGGACCTCCACATCCGGCTTCTTCACCTGTGGAACCGTCTGAGACCAGCCAACCAGACAGCTGATGAAACTGAGGAGTATTTCTGTGTGTTATAAAGCCCTTTTGTGGGGAAAAACTAATTCTGATTTGCTGGGCCTGGCTCCCCAGTGGGTGGGCCTGGCTGCCAAGTGGGTGGGCCCGTACCCTCCCAGGCCCAACCATGGTTGCGCCCCTGCCCAGTCATGTGAAATCCATAGATTAGGGCCTAATTTATTTATTTCAATTGACTGACTTCCTTATATAAACTGTAACTCAGTAAAATCGTTGAAATTGTTGCATGTTGCGTTTATATTTTCGTTCAGTATAGATTCAAGCCTGCCACAAATAATTAAGCACATTTACATTGTGGTCTTGCCAAGCAGAATGCTTTATTGCTTCACAAGGTTGACCCTGTAAAGCAGAGCTGTTCAATGTCGGTCCTGGAGGGCCAAAACACTTCTGGTTTTCATCCTCTCCTAATCATGGACTGATTCAAACAAGGGACACCAGATGAGTGGAATTAACTACCAGGTAGAAACAAAAAACTGAAGCGTTTCGACTCTACAGGACCAGAATTGAACAGCTCTGCTGTAAAGTGTTGAATTAACACAGAATATAAAGGTGAGCCAAAGGCAGGTTGCCCCCTTTATGACACATAAATCGACCTTGTGGGACAATGATGTGTAAAACTGTGGCCATAGCTCCAGGAAGGACATTTGCATGGACACTGGACCTCCTGCCTGAGAGGTTTTGTTCAGTATCTGTGGTTTGGCAAACCTGTCATGCTGCAGTACTTTTCATACAGTAATTCCACCGGATATGCACACATCTTCACCCCAGGCCCATGGAAATACCCTGCCACCACTGCCTTTTGCCATCACCACCATGCAAATACTATTGTGAATTCTCTATAAATTCCAATCAGGCTACTCTGAAATCAAAGGGTCTGTGCCTCAACTTGTGATGCCATTCTCAGTCAACATCTTCAGGCAACTTCTAAAAGCCGACCTTTGACATTTGTTTACATTTTCATCTTCAATGCTAAGATTTTGAATCAGACAACCTATTTCACGGTGTACTAAAATAACCAAGAAAAAACATCAGACGCAAAGGGATCTTTTTCTGAGGTAAAGCTGCATCCAAAATAACCACACTCAACATGTTGTAATTGCTTACCTTACCCTTATGGACTTTTAAATGTTTTCCAGTTCATTTTCTATTCATACATTTCTTCCACAGAGAACAGAAACCTCCTGGCTATGTGTCGGTCTGATTCAAATGAAGAAAACCCTTGTGACTGTCTGTGTTAAAAAGTGAAGAATTTGAAAGTAAATGCCATATTAAAAAGGCTTGCAAAATATGGTATTGAAACATTTGAGCACTAACTCCCCCTCAATCTCGAACACTTCAACATCTTAGAACACCTAGAATTAGCTGGTGGACATTGTTTAAAGAACCAACAGCACCATGCAAGGAGCCA